TTAACGGGGTTGATGTGAAAGTCAAACTCACAAGAAGCAGAAATGAATTTTGTCTGATGAAAGACGGCAATGAGAATTATAAAGTGCAACTCCTGTCAGCATCTCTCTTTGTAAAACGTGTAAAAGTAGCACCAGGAGTGCGCCTGGGTCATGCGGAAGCTTTGCTATCCTCCAGTGCCAAATATCCCATTGATCGAGTGGGAATGAAGGTTTACAGCATTCCGGCAGGCAGCCTTGTGTGTAATCAGGAAAACCTATTTCTGGGGCAGTTACCTAAACAGTTAGTGATTGGTTTTGTGGACAATGCATCCTTTAGCAGAGATTATGAAAGAAACCCATTCAATTTTCAACACTGCAATGTCAATTTTTGTGCCCTATATTGTGATGGTGAACAGATCCCGGCAAAGCCTCTTCAGCCTGATTATGAGCATGATATTTATGTGAGAGAGTACATGCTGATGGTGCAAGCGTCGGGCAAAGGTATGAAAGATAGGCCTCTGTTAATTAGCCAGGAAGAGTTTAGCCATTTGTACTGTTTTGACTTGAGCCCTGATCAGGGGTGCTCTGAGCACTATTCTTTGATCAGGAATGTTAACCTCAGAGCAGAAATTAGATTTGCACAACCCCTCCCCAATACCATCAACATGATTCTCTATGCAATCTTTGAAAACCTGATTGAAATAAATCCCACAAGGAATGTGCTTTTTGATTATATGTGAGTATGGATACCCTGCAGCTCCTCCGCTTGTTCTCTGGAAATACATGTTTTCTATGGGTCTACCCTTGTGACCTGCTACCCAAGAGACAAATCTCCAAAAGGCCTTTTGGATTAATTGTAAACACCCATCCTCAAACTCTACCTGGTGAACACTGGCTAGCCCTCTACTTCCCGTCTCCCGGATCTGGTGAATTTTTTGATTCTTATGGAAGACTGCCAGATAGCCCAGACTTTCCTGGAACCATAGTGAAGTTTTTAGAGCTGCAAGCTGAGAAGTATACATTTCACCAACCAACTGCAACACCCCTGCGCGGTGACTTGCGGGCAGCACTGTGTGTTTTTTCTAATGAACCAGTCTAAAGGCGTGGATTATGAAAATATTTTAAAGCAGTACTCTGAGGACAATATTAAAAACGATCAAATGGTAAAGCTATTTGTAAAAAGTGTAAAGCTGGGGAGGGAGCCTGGTGTCTGTACCTGTTACCATTGTATGCAGACATGTCTGCCTTACTGTAAAATAAAGAAAAAGACTTAAGCTTTTTTGCTTGTTTCACTGTGTTTTTATTCATTTTACAAACTGAGCCAGTCACCAAACCTGAGCGTGCTTCTAGGATTTGCATCCAAGGTCTAGAGGGGGTGCCAGTAAAAAAAGGCATCTATGGCCCAAAAGGGGTGGACGTAACAGTGTCAGGGGTAGTAGCCGTTTCAATCATAGGTGCTGTAGACTCTTTCAGTTTTTCTAACTGCTCTTTAGCAGCTGTAGACCCCAGCACAGATGTAGGTACATTCAGCTCTGCCATAGCTTTCATAAATTCGTCCCATCCTTTGGGTTTCCGCTTCTTGGTGAGCGATTGGTGTTGCGAGGCCCCTTTCACCAAGTCTAAAATATCAGTACCAGGAACAGGCATGCCCTTGTATAAAAAGGTGCCACGATCATCCCAGGATGAGATGTTCTGATGCTGTTTCATTTTGTTCAGCAAAAGTTCTGCATTTTTTCTGTAATGTGTGCTCACACCACCTAGGACCTCTTGTGTTGTCGCATCCTGTGGAGATGGTCGTTCCAGTGATGTCAGAGGTGCCCGAGGCTCTTCTGGGGGGTAAATGAGATTTAGCCTGTCCTTTTCAGACTCATCTTGCCTGGTCAGTCTTAGAAACCTCTGCAGCACAGAATTGTAGAGCTTAATCTTGTCATCCTCGCTCAAATCAGGTCTCTGAAGAATGGCACGCATCTCATCATCCAGCCGGTTAGTGGCCATAGCCCCCATAGTAGGCACCCTACCCTGTAGTTGCTCCATCTGATGACGTGACATCAGATACATTTTCTCAGCATGGTCCATGGTTTATCCAGTTAATAGGCTGGTCAGCAATGGAATAGCAGCCCCTAGTAAGGGCCCAATAAATCCTCCTGACTGGCGAATGATCTGTTTCTTCTTTTTAAGAGAGACCTTTCTATCACTCAACTTTTTAATGACACCTTTCTTTCTCTTTAATGTGTGGAATTGTGAAGGTTTCAGAGGAAGGTTTCCTTTTAAAGTGTTCAGGGCTATTTGTGTGGAATTGTGAAGGTTTCAGAGGAAGGTTTCCTTTTAAAGTGTTCAGGGCTATTTGTGTGGAATTGTGAAGGTTTCAGAGGAAGGTTTCCTTTTAAAGTGTTCAGGGCTATTTGTGTGGAATTGTGAAGGTTTCAGAGGAAGGTTTCCTTTTAAAGTGTTCAGGGCTATTTCTGCTATTGCACCTACCAGATCATTATTAGCACTACTTAAATGGCCTTTCTCTGTTTTGGACCGGCCTTTACTAAGAGTTTTAAAAAAACCCAATTTCTGCACACCCTCTCTGACATCCTGGATGAGCTAACGCTATGATGGCCGAGCTGTTGCTTTTTTACTCTTCTTTTTCTCAGTGTAAACAACTGGCCAATCAGGCGGAAAGAGGCCTGTTCTCAACTTGTAGGTTTCTGGAGTAGTGGCTGCCAAATCTACCAAAAGGTAGCCGTGTTAGTTGCGAGTAGCATCTTGGAACACCTCTAAAAAGTACTGTGTGTGTACATCTGATGAGCCAGTGTGACAATTTGCATCTGATCGCGGGGGCAGTGGAATAAAACCAAATATTTGGAATTCAGAGCTATTGTTCTCATTTTTTTACCTTGGAAAAACAGGTTTTGAAGTATGAGAATAATGCTCAGGTTTCTGTGGTGAATGTACTGTGTAAATGCCTTCTCTATTTGATCGCTGTCACCGGCAGCGTCCATTAGATCATCTATCACTGCTAAATTGATTTGGTTAGATGGAAACAAATCATCATCATCAAAAGATGTCAGCAGACCCTCCATAAACTTAATATATGGAAATTTATTAAGTAGTTCTTTGTAGAGAGGTTGCCAACAACTATAAAACCATACAATATTTTGAGGCATTTGAGACAACACATCAGTTCTAACATTTGTTTGATAAAATAAGATTTGCCAGAATTGGACGGTCCACTTATAATACAAGAGAAAGGGTGTACAAACTGTACAATGTTTTCCACCACTCCTAATAACCATAAGGTAGCATACTGTAATCCTTAGTCCTGAGTGCCCTTTTATTATATACTACTTTTAGAGTTTTTCTGAGTACCCGTGTTTCTAGCGCCCACTGTTTCTTAACCCTAACAATCCCTGGTTGCTCTACCTTGATCTCTTTCTTTCCCTCCTCCCCAGACAGACAGTAATCGTCCAGTTCTTTTAAGCTGTCAGAATTAACCTTGTCACAATTGCCAGTGTTTAATGTGATGCCCTTCACCTTTGGTATCATTTCCCCATTGGACAAGGAGTACCCGTACGTTTTAGGTCCTGCTGCCACAAACTCAGTGATCATGGTGTTTGGCAGGGTCTCGCTTGTCAGCTGGCCTAAATAATCACCCAAAGGAGGTGTCCACGCCCCATCTCTCCTAAAAAAATGACCGAATCGGTGTCATGGTACAGACACCTGTCACCTAGACCATCCAGTAGCCTGTATAATTCCAGCCGTGCATAAGCTGTTGTAAAACTAGCGATGAATATATGTGGATTTGGTTGGGTGGTTCTTAGCAATTTTCCATGTCACAATAGCCGTCTTTGTATCCACAAACTCTCATGAGGAAACTTCATAATAGGGTACAAAAAGATATTTGAACAATTCCTCAGGGTTTGTCACCACAGATGTTGTCAGGTGGCTGGTGCTCTGTCCAAACTTACCCCACAGGGATTTTAAAAAGAGCTTGGCAATCTGCCTTTTAGCAGGGTTTACTTCAATATGCTCTCGGCGTAAGTGGACACCTTCCATCTTTTCATAATCCTGAATATATTGTTCTTTGTCCTGCTCTGTTTTGCACCAAATGGGGTAGCCACTGGCCTCCTGCTTTTGTCTGAGATGTGTGTTCATATAACCTGAAAATAGGGTGTCTGATTTTCTTTCAAAATGCCAGATTCATAGATTTCAGCAATTCTGTAACCTTTTTCTAAAGCCACATTTAGTTCAACAGTACACCAGGTCCCAGTCAGGGCTCTTTCTTCATCGCTGTGCTTACACAGAGTGACCTGCTGATTTTCTGTGCAGCTTGCACACAGACTAAACATTAATTTACCCCCAGACTTATGGGGTAGGACTGGGAAATAGAGGTTACTTGGTGGGTACTCTTTAACTTTAGCAAGTCCAAAATACTGTTTTATGTCCCCAACATTTTGATAGATGATTTGTGGATGGCCAATTG